ACAGCACCTTAAACTCACAATGTGGCAAGGGACAAAGCCACAACCTGTCTCACACCCAGTGTTGTGCTTCCTGCAAATCCAGCGGCTTAATCAAGGCTTAGTTAAGCATACATCGGCAGCCGACCTTCTTTTTTTTCTTTTAGCGAACTGGGGTAAGAAAAAGGTATTTCCTGTGGATCTCAGTGGAAGCGAAATGATGCATTTCCCTAAAATTAACTGTCCTGTGACAGATGGCCAGGGGAGGGGGGAGGATGGTTCCCTAAACAATATGCAGTGGAGGCAAATTCCTTGTGTGTCCAATCACCCTTGGCTATTCTGTTTCTGTTCTGTTCTGTTCTGTTCTGTTCTGTTCTCTGTTCCATTCCGTTCCTGTTTCTCTTCTCTTCTCTTCTCTTCTCTTCTCTTCTCTTCTCTTCTCTTCTCTTCTCTCCTCTCCTCTCCTCTCCTCTCCTCTCCTCTCCTCTCTTCTCTCCTTCCCTTCCCTTCCCTTCCCTAATCCCTTCCCTTCCCTTCCCTTCCCTAATCCCTTCCCTTCCCTTCATTGTTCTGTTCTGTTCTGTTCTCCATTCCGTTCCTGTTTCTCTTCTCTTCTCTTCTCTTCTCTTCTCTTCTCTTCTCTTCTCTTCTCTTCTCTACTCTTCTCTTCTCTTCTCTTCCTTTCCCTTTCCCTTTCCCTTTCCTTCCCTTTCCTCCCTTTCCCTTCCCTAATCCATTCCATTCCATTCCTTGTTCTGTTCTGTTCCGTTCCGTTCCGTTCCGTTCCACTCCACTCCATTCCATTCCATTCCATTCCGTTTGGAAATATGACATTTTCAAAAGTGTATTTTAGAACATTTGCATCTTTTGAAAAGGGACACACAAGAAGGAAGAGCAAATGTTTTAAAAAAGCCAATGCTTAAGAATTTAAAAACTAAATGTTAAAGAAAGCAGTGACCAAACGTTTGGGTTTAGGAGGAAATGCTTAAAAAAAAATTTTTTTTTTTGCATAAGACAATGAATGCAGAGTTCCCAGATTTTTGGAAATTGCAAAATGACGGACAGCACCAAGTATGACGGTATCTGTAGCTCGGGGTTGAACTGTGGGGTCCTTGGTGCTCTCTGAGCTTGGTGGCCACACTGCTGGCGCTGATGATGTTACTTAGTACGGTAATGAAAAGTCTGCAAGAAAACCACTACGTTCAGAGAGCACCAAGGATGCCACCAGTCCACAAAGGGCCGTTGCTATGAAACAGGGAATGAGGTGCCACAATTGATGTTGTGAAACCAGGGGTAGGCTGTTGGGGGTTCGCAGGGGTTCGCGAGAACCTCTAGCTAAGATTCTGTGCAGTTTGGAGAACCCCCAAATCCCACTCCTGGCTGGCCCCACCCAACCTGCCCCATCCCTCCCAGGAGTCCCCACGTGGCCCATTTTGGATGCAGGTAAGTGCAGGGCGCACATGGAGGCTCGGGGAGGGTGAAAAACGGACTTACCAGAAGTTCAGGAAGGCCTGAAACAGGCCGTTTCCAGCCTCCAGAGGGCCTCCGGAGCCTGGGGAGGCCCATTTTCGCCTTCCCGGAGGCTCAAGGAAATCCTCCGGAGCCCAGGGAAGGCAAAAACATCCTCCCCTCCCGCTGTGGTGCAGGAGGCCAACTAGGCCACGCCCACCATGGCCACGCCCACCCAGCAACCGGGCAGAGAACCCCTTGCTGCCTGCTGTTGGAAGTGCGGTTACAGTAATGGAACTTATTTTCACCAATGGTGGACCTGCCCGCAGGCGGTTAAATATTGGAAAAAAAATATGGCAATGGATTTTGGAAATTACACAGATTAATTTGGAATTAAGGCCCGAGATTTTCCTATTGGGGGCAAAACCTTTGAATGTTAAATCAGATATATGGTTCTTGTTGATTCACATTATCGCTGCAGCAAGATTAGCGTATGCGCAGGAGTGGAAAAATCAATACTTACCGTTGGATTTGAAAACAATATATAAAATTAATGAGTGTGCGGAATCAGATAGATTAACTAGATTGATCAATGGTAAAAAAGATTCAGAATTTTATAACAGTTGGAAAGTATGGTACGATTGGGTCCAGAAAAGGTGGGATAGAATAGATATATGATGATGTATATATATGATGGCAAATATGTATGTATAAAGGAATGACTTTATATTTATGGACAATGTAATCACATTCTACCATGGTGGCAGGATTGTATATTTTATTTGTGTATTGGTGTATAGAATATATTAATAAAAATTATTTAAAAAAAAAAAAAGAACCCCTTGCTAAAATTTTTGAAGCCCACCCCTGTGGGAAACCCATGTTAACAAGCAGAGTTGCCCTGATCTCAGACACAACCCTCGGTTGCGCTCACAAGCTTCACCGAGTAGCTCGCGAAGGGAGGCGAATGAAAACTCGCCTTTTGAATTAAAATTGGTTGAAAGAATAACTTAACAGTCAAGGCACCAAGTCTTAGTGCTAATTTTTTGTTATTTGCGTCTCCTGCAAAAAAAAAAACCCTCTTCATCTCTCTTTCTCACACACACACATTCACACATCCCTGCTCTATCTCATTCACTCGCACGCTTGCATTGTGATACAGGAGAGCAATAGTCTTTAACTTACGACGGATTGCTTACTGGGCCATTCAAAGTTAGGAGTTAGGACCCAGGTTTGAAATTGTGATGTCTGCCTCTCCCGGCCCTTGTGTTCCCACAACTGGATTTGTGGTGCTTTGCTGCAACCAGATCACACTTATACCTATTTGCGCTGCCCTGCGCTGACCACAATTTGTGATGTTTTTTGCCGGAAATAGGTTTCCAGCAAGAACCACCCTATAACGAATAAGGGGTTCATTTAACGATTGCTGTGTTTGCTTAATGGCTGATGTGATAAAAAGGTCATAAAATGAGTCTTGGTAGCGCAGTGGTTAGAATGCACTGCTGCAGGGTACTTCTGCTGACTGCCGTCTGCCTGCAGTTCGGCAGTTCGATTCTCACCAGGCTCAAGGTTGACTCAGCCTTCCATCCTTCCGAGGTGGGTAAAAGGAGGACCCAGATTGTTGGGGGCAATAGGCTGACTCTGTAAACTGCTTAGAGAGGGCTGTAAATCCCTGTGAAGCGGTATATAAGTCTAAGTGATATTGCTATTCTTAAAGAAGAATACAATGGTTAGAATGTGGTTAGAAAGCAGCATTGCAGACTAACTCTACTCACTGTCAGGAGTTCGATCTTGACCAGCTTAAGGTTGACTCAGCCTTCCATCCTTCCGAGGTAGGTAAAATGAGGACCCAGATTGTTGGGGGCAATAGGCTGACTCTGTAAACCGTTTAGAGAGGGCTGTAAATCCCTGTGAAGCGGTATATAAGTCTAAGGGCTATTGCTATTGCCCTCCCTCACTTCCTTCTTTGCCGTGGTGGTACAGTGGTTAGAATGCAGTACTGCAGGGCAACTCTGCCCACTGTCTGGAGTTCAATCCTGACCGGCTCAAGGTTGACTCAGCCTTCCATCCTTCTGAGGTGGGTAAAATGAGGAGCCAGATTTTTTTTTTTTAATTTGATTTATATGCCGCCCTTCTCCGGAGACTCAGGGCGGCTTACAATGCGTTAAGCAATAGCCTTCATACTTTTTGTATATTTATACAAAGTCAGCTTATTGCCCCCACAACTGGGTCCTCATTTAACCTACCTTAGAAAGGATGGAAGGCTGAGTCAACCTTGAGCCTTGGAAAGATTCTTGTTGGGGACAAGAGGCTGACTTTGTAAACCGCTTAGAGAGGGCTGTAAAAACACTGTGAAGCGGTATATAAGTCTAAGTGCTATTGCTATAAAATCAGGCATGGTCATGGAGTGGCCCTCTTTATGACCATCATGGCTTATGACTGAAATTGTATGCTCAATTACAGTCCTAAATCAAGGACTACCTGTATTACGATGCGATCTCATTCACTTTGCCAGGACAGAGAATCACTTATGATGGAATCACAGGGGGAGGATGAGACCCACAAGGATCATCTAATCCAACCCTTTTCCAGTCTTACAACGGGCCAGAAAAACTAGTTCAACCATACAAGAGGTGTGGTTGTACAACCTGTTAAAATCTTTCAAAATCAAAGACCTCCAATATCTGTAGATTTGTCCACTGTTGTACAGGTAGTCCTCAACTTACAGTTATTGGCTGGCTGGGGAATTCTGGGAGTTGAAGTCCACTAGTCCTAAAGTTGCCAGGATCAGAATTCTCTGATTGAAAACTGCTTTCTGGGAATTCTGGGAGTTGAAGTCCACTTGTCCTAAAGTTGCCAGAGTTAGAATTCCTTAATTGATTGTCTGTGTAGTTATTTTTATTGTTTTACCATTTTTATTGTCTTAATTTCTGTAAGCCGCCCCGAGTCCCTCGGGAGAAGGGCGGCATATAAATATAATAAAATAAATAAATAATTGAAAACCTGGCTGGGGAATTCTGGGAGTTGAAGTCCACTAGTCCTAAAGTTGCCAGGATCAGAATTCTCTGATTGAAAACTGCTTTCTGGGAATTCTGGGAGTTGAAGTCCACTTGTCCTAAAGTTGCCAGAGTTAGAATTCCTTAATTGATTGTCTGTGTAGTTATTTTTATTGTTTTACCATTTTTATTGTCTTAATTTCTGTAAGCCGCTCCGAGTCCCTCGGGAGAAAGGCGGCATATAAATATAATAAAATAAATAAATAATTGAAAACCTGGCTGGGGAATTCTGGGAGTTGAAGTCCACTAGTCCTAAAGTTGCCAAGGTTGGAGTTCCCTGATTGAAAACCTGGCTGGGGAATTCTGGGAGTTGAAGTCCGCTTATCCTAAAGATGCCAAGTTGATTGATGAGAGTTAGGCCCCTCTAGACAAGACAAAACACCTCCGAGACATTTTCTCTCTCAACCTCTCCTCTCTCGTGAGGCCAAGATTTCGGAGTGGGGCCTCCATGGCCTCCGGTGGATTTACCTGACCTTCCTCCCTTGCTTTCTAAGTGGAACTCCTTTGCTTGCCTTCCAGGTGCTCCTTTTCAAAGGTCTCAGCATCCTCATGCTACCTCCTGCCGGCACTTCCACCTTGCCCCCCAGCCTCAGATCTCAGCAGACTTCCCCCTGCCTCATGCCGTCCAGCCTCACCTCACAGCCGCTCACCAGCACAATAGCCCGCTTCACTCGTCGCTGCCAACTTTACCTACCCTGCCATTCCAGGATGTGACGGGACCTCCGTTCCTACCTCAAGCCCTTCACCAGCAATATCTTCTCCAGCAGCGGCTCCTTGAAGCTCAACACCGCAGGTTCATATCCCATCCCAGGTGAGGCCACCTTGGGATCCTCCTGGCTTGGGGGGGGACGGGGACAGGTGCCAGTACAGGTAGTCCTCGACTTAGAACGGTTCGTTTAGTGACTGTTTACTACTTCACTGTGTAGTGTAAACAGTAGACTGTTGTAGTATGGGTACTACACTAAACCGTTCGTTTAGTGAAGTAACAACAAGGAACTGATGCCAGTTTTTGACATTTTTGACCACTGCAGCATCTCCATGGTCACGTGATCAAAATTCAGATGATTGACATGTATTTACGACGGTTGCAGTGTCCCGGGGTCGCATGATCCCCTTTTATGACCTTCTGATAAGCAAAGTCAACGGGGAAGCCCAATTCACCTAACAACCTTGTCACTAACTTAACAACTGTAGAGATTCACTTAACAATCGTGGCAAGAAAAGTCATTATGGGGCGGGCAAAATTCACTTAACAACTGTCTCGCTTAGCACCAGAAGCTTTGGGTTCAACAATTATGGTTGTAAGTTGAGGACTAGCTGTTCAAACCCTATTGGCTGAGATAGGCACAGACGATGGAGAGAGGGAGGTGGGTTTAGAAAGGGTCTTTTGGGGGCTGAAAACCAAAGGCCAATTGGGAAGAGAGTTGGAAGCTTCTCCTGGTAAGTTGTGGGTCTATGCCATGATCGTAAATGGAGATTTTGACAATGCCCTTAAGGCACCTTTGCCTCTCACCTGAAAAAAATAAATAACAACATTGGACAAATATATATGAGCACAGAAACCAACAAGAATTATGGACTTATGATTAATGATTGTAACTATGATTTATGATCTATGACCTATCACTTTGTTGTTTGTATGTACACCGAGTGCTTATGCACTGGAGACAAATTCCTTGGGCGTCCAATCACACATGGCCAATAAAGAATTCTATTCTATTCTATTCTATTCTATTCTATTCTATTCTATTCTATTCTATTCTATTCTATTCTATTCTATTTCTATTATTTTCTATTCCATTCCATTTCCATTCCATTCCATATTTTCTTCTATTCTATTCTATTCTATTCTATTCTATTCTATTCTATTCTATTCTATTCTATTCTATTCTATTCTATTCTATTCTATTCTATTCTATTTCCATTCCATTCCATTCCACTCCATTCCATTCCATATTTATTCTATTCTATTCTATTCTATTCTATTCTATTCTATTCTATTCTATGCTATGCTATTCTATGCTATTCTATGCTATTCTATTTTCTATTCCATTCCATTCCATTCCATTCCATTCCCTCTACTCCACTCGACTCCACTCCACTCCACTCCATTCCATATTTTCTATTCTATTCTATTCTATTCTATTCTATTCTATTCTATTCTATTCTATTCCATTCCATTCCATTCCATTCCATTCCCTCTACTCCACTCGACTCCACTCGACTCCACTCCACTCCACTCCACTCCACTCCATATTTTCTATTCTATTCTATTCTATTCTATTCTATTCTATTCTATTCTATTCTATTCTATTCTATTCTATTCCATTCCATTCCATTCCATTCCATTCCATATTTTCTATTCTATTCTGTTCTGTTCTGTTCATCTGTTCTGTTCCGTTCCGTTCCGCTCCACTCTGCTCTGTTCCGCTCCATTCTATTTTCCCTTCCCTTCCTTTCCCTTCCATTCTAATCTTCCATCCCATCCCATCTTATCCTATCCTATCCTATTTTGCAGTATTAGCATAAGATGTCCCTTGTGTCCCTTGTGGGATGACATCATGTTGCATATGACATCCCCTATCCTTTTGACTCACCTTGCAGAGACCCATCCCATGATGTGGGGGAGGGGAGAGGGTGACGACACATAAGTCCAGACTGTCATCATGCCTTCTATTACGCCCCCATGGACAGACCAACAATCTTGATTTCGCTCACCTCCCATGCGATTTCTCTACTCTGATCCAAACAGGACGTTCTCCAAGTGATGTGGAATTTAGATCTGTGTCAGAAGACGCAGAGAGCGAGCAATGTCTACTTATTCTTCTCCCTCTCTCTTGCAGGCGGACTCAGGAGCCCATGTCTGTCCAACCTCATCGGTTACATCCAAGCTTTGAATTTGGCCATCAACTGCAGACTCCCCGCACAGTGGCACCCCAGCCTAGATATTTAGCGGAAGGAACAGACTGGTAACTGGTTCCTTACTCACAAGGATTGAAAAATACCATAAATAGCAATGGCACTTAGACTTATAAACCCTTTCACAGTGCTTTACAGCCCTCTCTAAGCGGTTTACGAGCCTTGGTAGTACAGTGGTCTAAAGCACCCTGTTATTAACACAGCTGCCTGCAATTACTGCAGGTTCGAATCTTACCAGGCTCAAGGTTGACTCAGCCTTCCATCCTTTCTAAGGTAGGTTAAATGAGGACCCAGTTTGTGGGGGCAATAAGCTGACTTTGTATAAATATACAAAAATATGAAGGCTATTGCTTAACGCATTGTAAGCCGCCCTGAGTCTCCGGAGAAGGGCGGCATATAAATCAAATTTTTTTAAAAAAAAAAGTCAGCCTATTGCCCCCCAACAATCTGAGTCCTCATTTTACCCACCTCGGAAGGATGGAAGGCTGAGTCAACCTTGAGCTAGTCAGGATCGAACTCCAGACAGTGGGCTGAGTTGGCCTGCAGTACTGCATTCTAACCACTGCACCACCATGGTGCAGCAAGGAAGGAAGGAAGGAAGGAAGGAAGGAAGGAAGGAAGGAAGGAAGGAAGGAAGGAAGGAAGGAAGGAATAGCAATAGCACTTAGACTTATATACTGCTTTACCGTGCTTTTACAGCCCTCTCTAAGTGGTATACAGAGTCAGCGTCTTGCTCCCAACAGTCTGGGTCCTCATTTTACCGACCTCGGAAAGATGGAAGGCTGAGTCAATCTTGAGCTGGTCAGGATCGAACTTCAGGCAGTGGGCAGTGAGTTAGCCTGCGCCGCTACGGTTCTCTCTACCATGAGTTGGTTGCTTCCTTTAGGACTGAAAGATGTTTTAAAGTTGCCTTTCAACCTTCCTCCAAGTTCTGCATATTTTCCTAGAGTGAACCATTGCATTTTAACTTCCCAGAGACTGGTGGGAGGAGTTGCTGGTTGTGAGTGGGGGAGGCTTAGAGGGAGGTGGGCGTGGCAGGGGAAGGATACTGCAAAATCCCTATTTCCATCCCACTCCTGGGGAAGGATGTTGCAAAATCCCCTTTCCCTTCCCACTCCTAGAGGAAGGATGTTGCAAAATCCCCTTTCCCTTCCCACTCCTAGAGGAAGGATATTGCAAAATCTCCATTCCCACCACACTCCAGGGGAAGGATACTGCAAAATCCCCATTCCCAACCCACTCCTGGGGAAGGATATTGCAAAATCCCCTTTCCCTTCCCACTCCTAGAGGAAGGATATTGCAAAATCTACATTCCCACCCCACTCCAGGGAAAGGATACTGCAAAATCCCCATTCCCACCCCACTCCTGGGGAAGGATATTGCAAAATCCCCTTTCCCTCCCCACTCCTAGAGGAAGGATATTGCAAAATCTCCATTCCCACCCCACTCCAGGGGAAGGATATTGCAAAATCTCCATTCCCACCCCACTCCAGGGGAAGGATACTGCAAAATCCCCATTCCCACCCCACTCCAAGGGAAGGATGCTGCAAAATCCCCTTTCCCTCTACACTCCAGGGGAAGGATGCTGCAAAATCCCCATTCCCACCCCACTCTGGGGCCAGCCAGAGGTGGTATTTTCTAGTTCTCCAAACTTCTCAAAATTTCCGCTACCGGTTCTCCGGAACCTGTCAGAACCTGCTGGATTTCACCCCTGCCTTCCACGCAAGCACTTTGCTCGCGCACGTGCCTTCCACACGTGCGCACTGCCTCAAAAACATCCCTAAATAGGGTGGCATAGAGCTGTGGCGGGTAGGCTGGCCCACCCACAATTTCCGCTACCGGTTCGGGAGAACCGGTCCAAACCGGCTGAATGCCACCTCTGGACGTGGGCCTGAAAGCTTTCCAATGCAGGAAAAGCTGTGTGTCCTCTAGTTGTCCCTCAATCCATCCTTCTTCCCTTTTTCATTGTGGGAAAGTTAGAGCGACTTTATCGAAGGCGTTGAATTTGGAAGCCGTTGAAGGACATTGCTTTCATTCAAAGTGAGATGCTTATTCATAACTGTAACTTCCTGTCCTGGCCTCTTATCTGTTGTTCCCTGCCTTTTTTTTTCCCCCCTTCAATTTCCGCAACCTTTTATTATCCCCGTTCCAAGTCCCTGACAGTAAAACAAATTAATATATATATATATATCTTCAGCTGAATCTTGGATATGGAATAAATGTTGATATGTTTTAGAAGCCAAAGCTTAGACGGAGCTGAGATTTGCTAAATAGAGGCTGAAAGCGGCCAAAAAAAATTCCTCTCTCAAATAGGTTGCAAACAAAAAGAAGAGAACTGGGATATCAGCTCTGCAGTGAAGAAGGCAAAATACTAAGAGGTTACAAGGAGGAGGCAAAATTTGGTTGTCTCCCATCATTCCAAAGTGGGTCCCACCAGGATGTTTGAAGGACACAATTAAGGGGAACTTAAGTACAGGTAGTCCTCGACTTATAACAGTTCATGTAGTGTCCGTTTGATGTTGCAAGGGCACTGGAAAAAATGATTTATGACTGTTTCTCACTCCACGGTTGCAGCATCCCCATGGACACTGTTTGAAAATGTGGATGCTTGGCAACTGACTCATATTTATGACGGTTGCAGTGTCCCAGGGGGTCATATGATCCCCTTTTGCGACCTTCGGCAACGGGGAATTGCAGCGATTCATTTAACAACTGTGTTGAAAAATGTCGTAAAACGGGGCAAAATTCACTTAATAACTGTCTCACTTAGCAACAGACATTTTGAGCTGAATTGTAGCCGCACGTCAAGGACTTTCTGTACCTCCTGGAGGAGATAGGAGAGTGACAACCAGTGCTGGGTTTCAAAATGTTTTACTACCAGTTCTGTGGGCGTGGCTTGGTGGGCGTGGCAGGGAAAGGATACTGTAAAATCTCCATTCCCACCCCACTCCAGGGGAAGGTTACTGCAAAATCCCCATTTCCTCCCAATCAGCTGGAACCTGGGAGGCAGAGAATAGATGGCGGCGGGGCCAATCAGAATTTTTACTACCGGTTCTCCGAACTACTCAAAATTTCCGCTACCGGTTCTCCAGAACTGGTCAGAACCTGCTGAAACCCACCTTTGGTGACAACATATGTATGATGACGTCCTAGCAAGGTTATGACTTACAGGATGTATTTGCATCAGGCATCCTAATTAAGTATGCAGTCATGCAATTTGCTTGTATGTCATGTTAATGTTAGGTTCAAGAAGCCAAGAACCAGGATAAGAATCTGAATTACTAATGGGTCACAATGAATTGGTGACAGATAAGTCAATGGACTTCAAGAGGAGCTTGACTTAGGTCTCTATGGGAGCGTAGAGACTCTAAATTGATGATGACAAGTAACGGGAGCTCACTCTGTTACGCGGCGCTAGGGATTCGAACCACCGAACTGCTGACCTTCTGATCGACAAGCTCAGTGTCTTTATTTTTTTTTTTATTTAAAAATTTAAAAATATTTTTACAAACAAATTTCCCCCCCCTCCCCCCCCCCCCCCCTTCCCCCCCCCCCCCCCCCGCCGACTTCCCAGAGCAAAATACAGGGTATAGCATTCAGCAAACATAATCAAACATAAACAAGCTAACTATAAGCTCTTAACTCCCCCTCATATTTTAACTCCCCCATACATACCAAAATATAGGAATATAAAAATTCACCTAAATTCATTCATAAGCTATTTGCAACTTTTTAGTCCCATATTTTTTTTTTAATATAATCAATCCATCTTCTCCATTCCAATATGTATCTTTCATTCGAGCGATCCTTCAAATATGCAGAGATTTTAGCCATCTCCGCCCAATTAGCTACTTTTAATGTCCATTCTTCAATGGTAGGTACGTCTTCCTTCTTCCAATACTGCGCCACTAAAAGTCTGGCTGCAGTTATTAAGTTCAAAATGAAATTAGTCTCTATAACCTTACAGACTGTAATTATACCCAATAAAAACAACTGTGGAGTAAATTTTATCTTCTTTTAAAGAATATTTTGTATAATCCACTATATCTTATCCAACAAGCTCAGTGTCTTAGCCACTGAGCCTAATATGGAACTAGAACTCTCCATCTCTGGGTGATTGGCCCAAAGTCAACCAACCAGCTTTCATGCTAGAGTAGAGTAGAGTAGAGTAGAGTAGAGTAGAAGTAGAGTAGAGTAGAGTAGAGTAGAGTAGAGTAGAGTAGAGTAATAGAACAGAACAGAACAGAACAGGACAGAAGAGTTATTCTATAGCAGGAAGGTACTTTGGAGATTTTCTAGCCCAGCCCTCTGCTCAGGCAGGAAACCCTATACTGTTTTAGAAAAATGGATGTCCAGTCTCTTCTTAAAAGCCTCCAATGTTGGAGCGGAAGGAAGGAAGGAAGGAAGGAAGGAAGGAAGGAAAAGAAGGTTATTACCTAATTAGGTTATTACCTAACAAAAGATCTGCAAGAAAACAACCAAGTTCAGAGAGCACCGAAGGCCCCTCATTTCAACCCTGGGCTGCAAACAGTCTCCTTTTATAGATCTTATGTTAATGTTCGGCCATTGCATCCGATGAAGACCAAATCTGGCTTCCCTGCGGAATAACGGAGATTTTTCTTCTTCTGTCTTCCAGGCGATTGCCGTGTATGCATCTCTTTCACCAAGTGTGTGTCGACCAGTGGCTGGCAACCAGTAAGAAATGCCCCATCTGCCGAGTGGACATTGAAACACAACTCGGATCGGACAGCTGAAATGAACCGCCATGCGGGGTGTGCGTGTGGGGGCGGCGGGTGGAGCTGCCCCCCGCTCCCCCGCTCTCTTTTCGTGGTCCTTACGGGACCTTTGCCGCAAAATGTTTTGCCTTCTGAGCCATTTGAGTGTTGTTGTGTTTTTTGAAGAAAGCCTGCAAAGCACATTCACAGATTATTTAATTCAATCAATCGATCAATAAAAAAAAAAAAAAGAGGAGGACAAGAGGAGGAAGAAGAAGAGGAAGGGCGACGACGATGACGAAGATGATTTGAGGGTTAAAATATCTAAGCGTTAGGGAGGGATCCGAGCTGCATGCGTGGGCCGACGTGCAGAGGGAACACGGCTCGAACGCCCGGCGGGAAGCGCTAGTTGTGAAAAATGAAGGTACTTAGTTGGCCTAATGTTGGCCTTCCAATCCTACTTCTCAAAAGGGTTGTATATATATATATACCTCTTGAATAAGTAGACATGCATTAGGGGTTCCTTAGCTATTTCTTACGGAGGTTGTCAGAGCATGTGCGCTTCAAGGATGTTGTATTTTGATGCCCCGTTAGCTTGTGATGGAAATGTCGCTGTTATATAATCTGCACCAAACACTGCATTGGGGGGGTAGGGTGTTTTTTTTTGTTTTGTTTTGTTTTGTTTTTTACAGTTTCGTTTTACCTTCTTTTTTGAGTTTTTGGGTTTGGCTGAAACATGGTGAGAAGAAAATATATTTCGCGAATGAACGTGTCCCGGGATAATGTTGCAAGAATCCAGTCCGGGTCAGTCACCCGGGACCAGAGTTTTAATCTTCCGAGCTTTCGGACTCGTGCTACACTGCCATCCTCTCTATTGGAATATGGGCCACTCTGTGAGTCGTATTTATGTGGTGCCTTCCTATTGGCTGATTGATGGCTGGCAATTGGCTGTTATTTTCTTGTGTTGCCAAGCTCCTAAGTATTTGATAAGCCGGTGATAAATCAGCATTCCTGTTGACTGACCAAGGGCCCATTATCCAGGCTTCAATTATTTCTCTGGCTATTTTTGTCCCTGCTCGACCAACAATCATAGTAGCTGCGAAACTGAATGCATTGCGAGTTTTGAGTTTAACTGAGTTCACTGCCAATGTGAGGCTACCAATGAGTTCGGGTCTCCTCGTCCTAAGCACTGTTCTTACAATCTGGTGGTTAGCTTTTTCCCCGTCAGACCTACATAGTCATAGAAACAATCTATGCAGGGAATTTATTCCCAGAGAAGCCTTGGAAAAGGGCCCTTTGTCAGTCAACAGGAGTGCTGATTTAACACCACCTTAGGAGCTGTGGGCTTGGCAGCACAAGAAAACAACAGCTAATCACTGGTCATCAACACACGAATCAACCAATTGAAGGCACCGCATAAATACAACTCATAGAATAGCCCGAAACACATATTTCAGCAGAGGGAAGCTACCTGAAGATGAGCTCCAGCACAAGTCCGAAAACCCAGAAGATTAAACCACTGGTCCAGGGGTGGTATTCACTTACCTTCGCTACCGGTTCGCAAATGTGAGCGCACGCACCTCCGCACGTGCGCAGAGCATCAAAAACGGGACGTGATGACGTCCGAGTGGGTGGGTGGAGCCTCCCTCAACTGCCGCTACCAATTTACCCGAACCGGCTGAATACCACCACTGCTCTGGTCCTGGTGACCGACCCAGATTAAATCTTGCAAAATATATTTCCCTCTAAGGAAAGGGGGAGGGGGGCTACTATTCTCTCTTTCCATTGGTGAGAAGAGAAAATACTGTATTGTTTTCGTTCAAAAACTGTCCCCCTCCCCAACCTTCCCTGAGCAGCGTTTACTCACGTGGGATCAAGTTTTGTGACGAGAGGGGGAGTTTGACGAAAAGGCAGAAATAGAGAATTGGAAAGAAATTGGAGGAGAGAATAAGAATGGGAGATTTTCTTCCTTGTAGATATGCTGGCGCTGGATACTTTATTTAGAGCGCGACATTAGGACAATGCTTGCTTCCATTTTGATTTCTCAGAACCCGTTCTCAGAAAGGAGGGGGCAAGTAATTATTTCAATCTATCTCTTTCTTAAATATTCTTCTTCCTCATAAAGTGTTGTTTGTAACTTCTGGCCATGTCCACAGACCACGGACTGAAGTCCATGAGTTATGGGCTGGGTCACACATCACTCTAAACCAGGGGTATCCAACCTTGACAACTTTAAAACCTATGGACTTCAACTCCCAGAATTCCCCAGCCAACCATGTTTGCCTGGGGAATTCTGGGAGTTGAAGTCCTCCACTCTTAAAATCGCCAAGCTTGGACAACCCTTTCTCTAAACCAACTTTCCTCAATCAAGCACTGGAAATTTGGGGACCGTCAATCCCAATTTAATGTTGGGTGATGCCACTGTAAGCCATAATTGGGTTTTTTTTTTTTGTGTAGTGATGAACCTAGCTACTGTGGTTGGTCAACCAAGGTTTATGGCTTAGCATGAGATGTGCACCTGACCGATTGTAGCTTAGTCAGTGGACTGTGGTGAAACAAATCGTGGCTCAGCATGATGTATGAACACATAATGTACCCATTGGCCATCTCTTAATAACCAGATAACAGCCAAAAAAGGGCTCTTTTTTTGCATATTCATGACAAGCAAAAGGAAATTTAAATTACTGGATGAGCTATGTAGACTTTTAACACGCTTTTGAGGCTTTAGTCATAGTTTCTTCTATTGAATGAAAACTAGTTGGAAGATAAGTCTTGACTATCATCATCTTCTTTTAATGACCCCAGTTTGCGGGATGGAGTCTGGGCAACTGAATGGAGCTAGCAGAGTGTTTTAATGGCCGGATGCCTTTCCTGTCCCCACGGTGGAGTTTTGTCCAGCAGATATATATATACTCATTGTGCCCAGAGAGAGAAATATCTGCCTCTACCTAGGATCAAACTCACAGCCTCCTGATTGTGAGGGGAGAGCTCCACCTCTAGGCCACAGAACCACTCCAAGATAAGTCTGACTATGTTCCATCAAATTGTAGATGACTCTTAAGTGACCACATAGGTAGACTCTTCCAGGATGATCTGTCCCTGAGGTGGCTTTTTAGAACTTCTAGCAGTGAACTCACTGCCACTGTAATTGAATCTTTCTGATAGACCATGGACAATGAATAAGCACAATGCCAGTTTTCCACCACTTCAAGAGATTGAACCTTAACACCATATCCACCCTGCTTTTCTTCTTATCGTAAACTCCTTGATTTGCTCAAAGTGAAGCTGGAAAGAGTTTCTCGAATCTCCTGATCTTCCAGTGACGTTCTCCTTTCTTGAGATCTTTCTTCCTCTTCTCTTCCAGATACAGGCAGTCCTCGATTTACGACCACAACTGAGCCCAAAATGTTCTTGTTTCTAAGTGAGACATTTGTTAAATGAATTTTGCAACAATTTTGCTGTTGTAAGTCGAGGAGTACCTGTATCTATAACAGGACACTGGTGATTATATGGTGATCTGAGGAATGTTTAGAAAAAGCATTCAGAGGATGAGTGACCCAAAATCGAGAGGGGACTCTCTCCGCGTTGATTTCTAAGGTGTAACGTAGAAATGCGAGGGAAAACCAAAAGATAGCTCACTGGGAAATCTTTGCCACAAAGAGTTTGGACAATCTGAGCATTTTGGAAAGAGAGGAGGTGTCGGATCATTAAGGAATGGTTGAATAATGCTTGAGAAAAAAGTCTTAAGGAATATAAAGTTGAACAGTATTCTGTAGTGGCTCTAGAAACCTGAGAATGATTGCACAAGGGTAGTTATTGTTAATAATTTTAGTATGGTTTTGAATCCTAATAACGGCATAATCGAGATTATCTGGATAAATTGCAGCAGGAGATGGTATGAAGTCGAGCATCTTGGTTCACACACAGTGGTTTGGTAGCTCAGATTGTGGGCGCATAGCCTAATAAACAAAGCTGGAACACAACGAATCAGCAGTTGAGAGGTTCCGGTGATATTTAGTCCTGCTTGTCTCTTGCCAAACAGACCAATCGCATTGAACTTCATTTACTGTATAACCCCCCCCCCCAAGAGACCTGTCTACTGTCTGATGCATACAAGCCATGTTAAAGCCACGATGAGGCTAGATTGATTCCAGCATCATGTGTTGGGTAAACTTGGCGATTTTATTTTGTAAGCCACGGTTTGTGATGTAGCATCTTGGACAAACCTACCCAATTGTGGTTGACTTGATCAACCATTGTGAAAACCAATCACCGTGTTGCTGTGTTTTATGAACCAGGTCAGTGTGTAGCACCAGGCCCTACAAAACATGAGTTTACCCCTGGCTAAAACAGTTTTGCATGAGTATCTAGAATTCTTTTTAAGGAGATTCTGGACAGTTCCTTGGGAGTCAAACGAAGGACTCACATATATTTGTAAATTAAGCTTCTTCCTGCCTCTATCATCTAGATCTATCATCTAGATCATTATCATCTAGATCAGACCTTCAACTCAGCTATAACAAACTGTGGTTCAATTCATATAAACAGTTTTATGTGAAAATGAAACATACAGTGGTACCTCGGTACTCATGGTTAATTCGTTCTGGGAGTGCGATGAGTACCAAAATGATGAGTACCAAATTTTCCCCATAAAGAATAATGTAGTGAATCACAAGGCAGCTGACACCAACAAGTTCTAGTTTGTGTGTCGAGTACCAAACAATGAGTACCAGGACAAGATTTTCAGATCAAAATGCGCATAGTACCAAATTTGGTGAGTTTCAAAACAGTTGAGTACCGAGGTACCATTGTATATAGATTTCTGCCCCTGTCCAGTTTTATCATCAAAGTGGCTAAACTTGGCTAAAACGGCTTTAGGTATTCATTTCCTTCAAGGGTTCCAAGTGGTAGCACCAGACACCGATGCTCAGGAAAAGCCACTACAATATCAGGTGCATTGTGACATCGTTGTGCAAAGAGTGCTCCAAATTTCGTACTTTGCGTAATTTGCTCTAAGATATCGTGGTGTGATTCACCCCACTGCCCTCTTGCTCCCCAACCCAACAACACCCACATAACCAGACTTTCTCCAAAGCTGAGAAGAACCTTAGCTCTGTTCTCTTCCTAGGTCATTTCCACATCAACACTCTACAACAGGGGTGTCAAACCTAAGGCTCGCAGGCTCAGGCGACAGTAAGTCTGGGCGTACTGCCAAGAACCTTTAGCTGTTACAATGTAATAACGGTTAACCCAGAGACAGTTTCTGTAAGCACGGCAATAAAGATTAGGCTAGAAACAACACCAGAATGTTTCCTTCCTGCCTTCCTTATAGGATTAGTCCTGTAAAGTGAAAAAAAATAAAATAAAAGGAGATTTCTTCCAACAACCGGTTCTCTGAACTGCGTAGAAAGTTAACAACTGGTTCTAGTGAATAGGTGACAACCGATTGAATCCCATCACTGCACGCGGCCCTCCCAAGCTCCGTTTTCACTGGCAGAGCGCTCAGGCCACCACAGGCTCCCCCGACATGAATGACATCGAGCTGGCCATGCCCACCCTGGCCACGCCCACCCAACACCCCAAGATCAAACACAACCCAATGAAATCAAGTGTGACATCCCTGCTCTACAACGGGTTCCCAACTCCTGGGCCGTGGCCCATTCAAAACCAGGCTGAGGAACCTCCACTTGTATGTGTAATGGGCAGTTCCATTTATGTGAGCAGCAGACATGTGTGCCCACCTCTTGTGCAAGTAGAGCTGCGCATGCACTCGTCCACCATTTGTGCAGAACCATCCCCTCTCCCCTCCCATACCAGTTTGCAAAGCCGGAACGATTAGAGATTGCTGCTCTACAAGACTTCCTATCTCTGTAGTTCATTCTATTAATTGCCAGGCTGGACCATTAAAAAATGCAGATGGGGTACAGGGCCCCTCACAAACACACCAAGACTTTTCTTTGTTTCCCATTGTAGTGACTGTGTAGGTGACAATAGCAACCCCAAAATTATCCCGGTAGGAACTGAGCATTGCTTTTCACTCTTATGGCCATTGCACCATCCCCATGATCATATGGTCAACATTTGGACACTTGGCAACTGACTCACATTCATGACAGTTGTAGTGTCCTGGGGGGGACATGTGCCCCCCTTTTTGGACCTTTTTGAGAAGCAAAGTCAATGTAAAAGCCAAATTCACTTAACAACCATAGTGCTCATTTAACAACTGCAAGTGATTCACTTAGCCACTGTGGTAAGAAAGGCTGTAAAAGAGGACAAAGCTCACTTAACAACTGTCTGGCTTACCAGTGGAAAATTTGGGTCAATTGTGGTTGCAAGTTGAGGACTACCTGTAGCTGTGCAACAGTATACAGAGTGCAAATAAAAACTCCTTGTAGAAAACTAGATACTGGGCAGAAAAATCTTGTGTTGTTGTTAGTTGCAAAGTCGTGTCCGACCCATCGCGACCCCATGGACGACTTTCCTCCAGGCCTTCCTGTCCTCTACCATCCTCTGGAGTCCATTTAAGCTCACTCCGACTGCTTCAGTGACTCCATCCAGCCACCTCGTTCTCTGCTGTCCCCTTCTTCTTTTGCCCTCCATCGTTCCCAGCATTAGGCTTCTCATCTCCAGGGAGTCCTTCCTTCTCATTAGGTGGCCAAAGTATTTGAGTTTCATCTTCAGGATCTGGCTTTCGAAAGAGCAGTCAGGGTTGATCTCCTCTAGGACCGACCAGTTTGATGGCCTTGCAGTCCAAGGGACTTGCAGGAGTCTTCTCCAGCACCAGAGTTCAAAGGCCTCCATTCTTTGGCACTCAGCCAAAGTTTGATTCCATTTATTGTTGTCTTCGCATAGGAATCAGACCTGCCAGTATTTAAGCCTCTAAATAGAAACGATCCTTGGCTCCATTTGTTGAGAAAGATATAATTTTATTAGAAGTCAAGTATCTTGCAGTAATGCATAGCCAGAACTGAGCATCGCACGCCAAATTCAACTGGCTAAGTTCAACTTTTCCCTCCCTTAAATGCCTCCCATCGCTGACCACTCCCTGATGAGCAATCAGGTTCAAGCAGGATGTTTTATTTTTATAGTTATAATGTACACTGAAGATGGCATTTAATTTCGTTGTACGAGGTGCAATGACAATAAAGTAAACTTAACGTTTTCAGAACACTCCCTTCAAATGTAGGTTGGTATGCAGCTGCTTTCTTCTCCCAGCTGGGTGACCTTGAAGCAGCTCCTTGGGCAGATACAGAAGTTACTTCCGCTTTCCCTCCTCTTCTCCACACACATACACACACACCCCAAATTCATGGCAGATTGTCACCGTGTAATAGCGAAAGACACAAGCAAGCATAAGGTGGCAGCTGACAATAGGTTTTTGTGTTCGACCAGAGAAAGGTTGATTTTTTTTTACTTCTTTCTTCATCTTTTTATTTGCTAAGAATAGGCATCTGTTCTTTTCTTAAGTGTGACTTTTTACACTACGTTAAGAAGTAACGATATCAACTCGCAGCTTTCTTTCCTCTTGAGATTAGTACTTTTCTTTGAATTGTTTCCTTGACGCGTTAGGATCAAGAAATTGGAAAAAAGTTGCATGCTTTTTGATTAAAAAAAAACAAATAATCCGATATTATGGATTAAAGTTCGTATCCAGAATTAACACGGTACAGGTAATCCTCGATTTACAACCACAGTTGGGGTCAAAAATTTCTGTTGTCAAGCAAAGTGGTTGTTAAGGGAGTTGCCTCCAATTTTACGACCTTTTATCCCCAAGGTTGTTAAGCTGTAGTTTTTAAGTGAATTTTGCAATTGTTAATTAAATCCAGTGTCCATTGAATTTGCTTGTTGGAAGCTGGCTGGGAAGGGGGTCACCGGTGGAGATCACATGACCTCCAGATGCTACAACTACAATGGTAGTACATGCAGGCTGCCATGTACCTAAATTTTGATCAGGTGTAAGTGTTTTTTCTCTGGTGGGACCAATCTATCTCGGCAACCTGGTCTACCCAATTGTGGGATGGAGCATACTGCTTCTGCTTCCGCTTTTGCCTTTCAGCCCCAATCCGCGGGCCTTCGCAGGCAGTCGCTTTCGCGACAAACTATTTTTGTGTTAAATTTATGTTTTACCCACAAAGAAATAAAGGGAGATTAGTATAGATCTATTTCAAGCGATTTAGCTCTCAGCAGCTAGCAATATCTTTCTGGGATTTGTTCTTCCTTCTGGGAAGTAGCCTGGGTTCGAAACCCAGTAGAATATGGCTAGGTCAAGGCCCGTGGGCTGGATCCGACCCGGGGTACTTAGATCTGGCCCGCAGGGCCACCCTGAAAACAGTGAAGAATCGCCCCCCCAGTGGTTCTACCAAAGAACATGGGCTCCCGAGCTCTGTTTTCGGCTGCCACGACCTCCTGCAGCCCTCTGCCAGTGAAAACAGAGCTTGGGAGCCTGTTTTTGCTGGCAGAAGCACTTTGGGCCAGTCCTTCTGTCTCCGTTTTCACTGGCAGAGGGTTGCAGGAGGCTGGGACAGCTGAAAACGGAGCTTGGGAGCCTGTTTTTGCTGGCAGAAGCACTGTGGGCCAGTCCTTCTGTCTCCGTTTTCACTGGCAGAGGGTTGCAGGAGGCTGGGACAGCTGAAAACGGAGCTTGGGAGCCTGTTTTTGCTGGCAGAAGCACTGTGGGCCAGTCCTTCTGTCTCCGTTTTCACTGGCAGAGGGTTGCAGGAGGCTGGGACAGCTGAAAACGGAGCTTGGGAGCCTGTTTTTGCTGGCAGAAGCACTGTGGGCCAGTCCTTCTGTCTCCGTTTTCACTGGCAGAGGGTTGCAGGAGGCTGGGACAGCTGAAAACGGAGCTTGGGAGCCTGTTTTTGCTGGCAGAAGCACTGTGGGCCAGTCCTTCTGTCTCTGTTTTCACTGGAGAGGGTTGCAGGAGGCTGGGACAGCTGAAAACGGAGCTTGGGAGCCCGTTCTACTGACGGAGCTCTTGGGCTACCACAGGCGCCCCCGACAAGAGTAACATTGAGGTGGCCACATGGGTCATACCCACCCCGGCCCCCAAAGGTCAAACGCGACCCTGATTCGGCCCTCAATGAAATCGGGCTAGCTGATGAGAGCTAAATAGCTTGAAATAGATCTATCCTAGCCTCCCTTTATTTCTTTGTCGGTAAAACATAAATTTTTGATCAGGTGGGGTTTTTTTTCCGATGCTGCTGTAACTTCAAACAAGTGCTTGTGAGTCGAGGACTACCTGTAATCATTTCACAATGCTTTCACAATGATGGTGAGCAACACACCCATGTCACGGTGGCTTTGTCACGTCGAGGTTCGGCTTTTTCTCCTCCTAAGCCAGGAAGCAAGATGCTGAAACCCAACTTCAGAAGTGCTGGTTAACCTTGGATTAAAGCAGATTTATAGAATCACAAGCAGAACCATTTATCCCACTCCTGCCCAAATCTTTGTGCATATACAGGAAGTTCTCGGGTTAAGGTTGCGTCGTCTTGGTGATCAGGTTTTGGATGCTAGGATAGTTTGCTAATACTGTGCCATCTGGAAGAATCCTCATTTTGTTACAGTTGAGGACATCTCTTCAGTTTACTTTCTCTTCTTCCCTTCCCCTTTTAAGATGTAGATCCGGAGTGTCCAACCTTGGCCACTTTTAAGAGAGCCGTGGTGGCGCAGTGGTGAGAGTGCAGTACTGCAGGCTACTTCTGCTGCCTGCTGGCTGCCTGCAACTTGGCAGTTCAAATTTCACCATGCTCAAGGTTGACTCAGCCTTCCATCCTTCCGAGGTGGGTAAAATGAGGACCCAGATTGTTGGGGGCAATAGGCTGACTCTGTAAAACCGCTTAGAGAGAGAGCTGCAAAGCACTGCAAAGCGGTATATAAGTCTTAAGTGCTATTGCTAAGACCTGTGGACTTCAACTCCCAGAATCCCAGAATCCCCATGCTGGCATCTCCAGCCAGTATGGGAATTCTGGGAGTTGAAGTCCACCGGTCTTAAAAGTGGCCAAGGTTGGACACCGTTGACGTAGATCATTGGAAGGTAGCCATTGCTGATTCTGACTGCTTTCTGCACCCTCGTGTTATGGATCCAAGATGGCGATACTCGCTTCTTCTTGTGAAGTGTTCATCCTCATCCTAGCTTATAAACTCGACCAAAAAGTATTTTGATATTAGCAGCTTTTTTTTCTTTTTTTTTAATGTAGACTTTCTAAAAATCTACATTACTGCCCTCCCCATGCATGGAGAGGAGATGAGAAGCCTCCTCAAATCGTTGGAAGATTCGGGACGGGTGGCATGGCAGTAAATTTAAAAACAGAAAACCCCCCCCCGCCAAATAAGAGCTTTTTAATCGCTTCTCTTATGTGTTGCATCTGAAACAGCTCAGATGCGCTAGAGATTCCGGATCACATCAATTGAGGGCCTAAAAGCAGCTTTCCAATTTATCAGCCAGGATTGTTTTCTTTCTTTCTTTTTTCTTTTTTTTTTTAAAAAAATGCAAACTGCAGGAGGAGTGTGTGCGTGCGTGCGTGCATGTATGTATGTGTGTGTGTATAAATACTGGAACCAACAGAAGGCTTTAACCCTTCCTGTATTGCCGTGCCGTGGAGGTTAATCTGAATTTCCCCGCAATTACTCAGCATTGCATTGGGTGGAGAGCAAATGCCAGCTTCCAAAGAGATCACAGCTGCAGAGGAGAAGGCTTCCATCCTTCCTTCCTTCCTGCATAGGGGACAATTTGCAAAAAAAAAAAAAAAGAGAGAAAGAGAGAGAGAGGTCCTTGTGATGTTTGACATTTTGCCTGCTGTCTCCCTGCCGTTTCCCAGGGCGTTCAGACGCACTCTCCACGCAATAAATCTGTATACAACGGCCCTTGTCACAAGACAGGAAGGCCATGGTTTTCTTGGAAAATCAAAAGAAAGAAAGAAAGAAAGAAAGAAAGAAAGAAAGAAAGAAAAAAAGAAAGAAAGAAAGAAAGAAAGAAAGAAAGAAAGAAAGAAAGAAAGAAAGAAAGAAAGAAAAGATGATGAATGGGGAAAACCCAGGCGGATTTGGGCCACACCAACGAAAGGCACCCAGGCGGTTAGGAAGGCGCTTAAAGCTTCTAATCCAGGCGATGAAACATGTACGTGAAACGTTGGTCTGCGTGTTCTGTTTTTCTCTCCGTGTGCGTCCACATCCACACACTTGTGCACTTAACGGATCAATAATAAGCACAGCTTTTTCTTTTTTTAAAAAAAAAATAATACGGCGACGCAGAGCACCCGTTACTCAAAGATTTGGGAGTTGCGAATGTGTGAAGTGTGCTAAGCGAAAACTTGTGGGTCCCACGTCAGACAGTGTCACGTGTGAATGGGGACACTGAATGTTCTTTTTTTTAAAAAAAAAAATACGTATCTAGAAACAACAGCAACAACAACAAAAATTAGTTTACAGGGTTTTGTGAGTTTAAATGCCTTATATTTAACAATCATAATTTATGACTAACTTGTAGATATTTGTGGATTCTTATTTAATTATTTTTATAGTTGGGTTGGATTTTTTCCTTTGGCATTTTTAATTATAATTTATTTATTTAGAAACGAATACTAATTTTTTTAATTGCTCCTCTATTACCTCATTATATATATATATATATATTTTGGCATAGTTTCTGGGAATGGAATGCTTTTGCATGCGTTGGTACTTTTGAAGAATGATCAAACTGGTGGTGGACACATTTACCATTTCAAAAAGAAAACAAACGAAAAAAAAATTATTCAGGGTATGTGATGACAAACTGTATTACTTGTGGTGCTGTTACCTTGGAGACATTCCATACAAAAAGAAAAAAAAATGCAAACCTTTGATTCTGTATGCTGTGACATAGTGGAAATTTTGCAATATAGTGGCCGTGTTTTAGCATACACAAACACACACACATTAAAAGCATATATATATATATATATATAAAATATAGATATATATGAATATTATTTGCACTCATCAAGTGGTGATGATCCACTCACTAGCAATCTTTTCTTTTCTTTTCTTTTCTTTTGTATTGAGGGAAAAGTCGCAGTCCTCCAAACCATTTATCGGAAATGGTGTAGGATCTCCTGTTTGGGCATTGGGGTTGGACTAGATGACCTACAAGTTCCCTTCCAACTCTGTTAATCTATCTTGAAACCGAAGGAAAGCGTTTCAGTCTGAAAGCTTTGGAATTAAATTTACCCCAAACTCTGTTCTTTCCTCTGAGGAGTCGTTCACAAAAGCCAAGGCTTCCATAATGCAAAATTCACGCATAGCCATGGTGTGGTATGCCATAGAAGAGGGGAAAAAAAATCTTAGTTCACTGCACCAGATCGTACTGGAAATCCAAGTTTACTGGGGCAAACGGTTTCCTAAGACTCTGGATGCGCCCGAGGAAAATTTAAAGGGGAAAAAAAAAATTAGTCCTTGCACAAAATATGAATCCAATCGCTTTCATGGTATACAGCCCATGGATGCTCTTCAGCAGGGGTGTCGAACTCGTGGCCCGTGGGCCCGGATGCATCACACACTGGCCACGCTCACCCCATTTAGCGAAGGGGGTGGGGAAGTCACGATACATCACCTGCAGTGGTGGGATTCAAGTAATTTAACAACCGGTTCTCTGCCCTAATGACTTCTTCCAACAACCAGTTTGCCAAAGTGCTCAGAAAGTTAACAACCGGTTCTCCCGAAGTGGTGCGAACCGGCTGAATCCCACCACTGATCACCTGACGACAACAACGTGACGTCACGAGTTTGACACCCCTGTGAGTCTTCATGGGCTTCAGCTGCCTCAGCCTGGAAAGTAAGTAAGTTGAGTCTGCTTTAAGAAACCCCATTCAGCAAAATTAATGCAACTCTTTTTAAAGGAGCGACCCCTTTTATTTTCCAGGGTTACAAGGAAGTTGGAGAACTTTAGCTTAATCTCCGGGGATGAGTAGCACAGATGGGTTTCCTTGGGCTGCTCAAATGAGATCTGAAGGACTTTTTCTAAGCGATGCTCAAGCCTCCTGATGTGGCTGGATTATTGTCCCAGATCCTTCACCAGGCGGTAGAGATTGATTGGAGTAATGTATAGAATCTAGTCATCGTCTCCAACTTGGGTCCCCATCAAGGATCTGCAGCTTTCATTTCCTCAAAGCTAAATGCTCTTGTCCAGTTGGCTTGCTGAGGGCCACACTCCAACAGCGAGTAAAGCTGTAGGACTTCCCGCATTAGGAGGGAAAGAATGACAGGCGTTTTGAAATGTGACATGGATTCCTTAAGCAACGGTACCCGTTTTGATCTGACCCTAATTTTTTTTTGAAATTCATCAATGGGTGTGGGGAACCCTTATGCAAGCTTCAAGAAGGCATGCCTTTTCCCATTGTTGATACGATCAGAGCTTTTATCACACCATCCATCAATTCAATGATGTTTGTCTGGAAAGCAGAAGTATCCGCATTTATGGCTCCTACCGAGATCGACTTGCAGCGAGAAAGAATACCCAAATTCCTCCACTCTTAACTCATCTGCAACTTCCGCATCGCAACATTGTGCATGGAAGAGACAATGTCTTAATGCAGAGGTGTCCAACCTTGGCCACTTTTAAGACTTGTGGACTTCAACTCCCAGAATTCCCCAGCCAGCCAGTCATGGCTGGCTGGGGAATTCTGGGAGTTGAAGTCCACAAGTCTTGGAATGGCTATGGTGGGACACCCCTGAGCTGAAATTAGTAACCTTATCCGTTCCTTCCAGTGGGATATCATCATCTCTTCCTTATTGTTATTGTAAATTCTACAGTTTCTAGCATCTTGTGCTAGAGCAACACAACAATTGGTTTTTGAGTCCCTTCAGTGGGATGGAGGGTCTTATAAATCAAATACATAATTCCTCATCAATACTTATGCTTCCGAGAGGGACGCCAGGGACTTGAATTTAGCAACATCTGGAGTTTTGTAAGTTGAGGAACATCTGGAGATCGTGTGATAAAATGATCCGTCCATGCAAACGACTTTCACTGGGGAAAGACATTTAGCTCCAGCTTTCTCAACTGCAGGATCTCCAAAGATGTTGGGACTTCATCTTGGGCAAAATTTCCAGCCATAATTCCTGGAGGTGAGGATAAATCAGGGAAATGGTTAATTGAGAAGGTTGGGGTTTTGTTTCGCCGCAGACATTTCCAGAGCTCGAATTGCACACACCGTGAGATGGCTAGCCTTTGCATTCTTCCAAAATGAAAATATCTATCTCCTCTTTTGAAGACTTTTGTGCTATTCTGTGACGCACCACATCGAGTTGAATAAAGTTGAAAAGAAAGGGAACTAATGAGAGATGTGCAATGTCAAAGACAATTATAGCTGACTAACTGATTTCTCAAATATATTTCTTTAACAAGTTATCACCTCCAACCAAGGGGATACCCTTGCTTTACAGAAGGGGCATTAATATTCTCAATTACAGTCCAAATCCTCCTCATTTCCCTTAATGACAAAGAAAAGTGACTGGATCATTCACTCTCTCTCTCTCTTTCTCTCTCTCTCTCTTTTTTTTTTTTGTACTCCTACTGCTGTTTTGTTGTGCTGTGCAACATTTTGCTACATAGACTATTTTATAGGCGAAAGCTAGAAATATTTATTATTCCTATTAAAGCAATAGTGCATTCGGAGAAAAATTAAAGAGACATTAGAAATTGTGTAAATGCTTAGATTCACTTTTGGTGGATTTTTTTGTACTTTATTTATAACTAATAAAATGAGTTGCATTGCTAACTACTTCCTCGGGGTCCTTAATGATATTGCGAACCAGCGAAGGGCTGGGTTTGCTGAGAAGAGGCGCTGATCGCAAGAGCATTTAGATTTATATATCGCTTCATAGTGTTTTATAGTCAGGGTTTGGCTGTGGGGGTTCGCAGGGGTTCGGGAGAACCTCTAGCTAAGATTCTGTGCAGTTCGGAGAACCCCCAAATCCCACTCCTGGCTGGCCCCGCCCACCCTGCCCCTCCCCTCCCCTCCCAGGAGTCCCCATGCGGCCTGTTTTGGATGCAGGTAAGTGCAGTGCGTGCGCAGAGGGCGAAAAATGGGCCTACCAGGAGTTTGGGAAGGCCGGAAACGAGCCCGTTTCTGGCCTCTAGAGGGCCTCCAGAGCCTGGGGATGCTATTTTTGCCCTCCTGGTGGCTCGAGGAAAGCCTCCGGAGCCCAGGGAGGGCAAAAACACCCCTCCCGCCATGGTGCAGGAGGCTGACTAGGCCACACCCACCATTATTATTATTATTTATTGAATTTGTATACCGCCCTACTCCCGAAGGACTCAGGGCGGTGAACAGCCAAATAAAATACATATAATTACAAATGTTAAAAAACCATTAAAATACAATTAAATAATTGGCCCGGAAACTAAATTTAAAACACCCCAAGTTCCTAAGACAAATTTAAAATTTTAAAATTTTAAAAGTTATTTAAAAAGTTTAAAAGAGAGGTTAGGCCAGGCCGGCCTGCTGAAAAAGAAATGTTTTGATGGCACGGCGGAAAGCGCGCAGGTCTGGGATCCTCCGTATCTCCGGGGGGAGCTCGTTCCAGATGGCGGGTGCCCCCACAGAGAAGGCTCTCCCCCTGGGGGCCGCCAGTAGACATTGTTTGGCCGACGGCACCCTGAGGAGCCCCTCTCTATGGCAGCGTACTGGTCGGTGAGAGGCTACTGGTGGCAGAAGGCACCATGGCCATGCCCAGCCAGTAACCAGGCAGAGAACCCCTTGCTAAAATTTTTGAACCCTATCCCCTGTTTACAGCACTCTCTGAGTGGTTTACAATGTCAACATATTGCCCCCGAGAATCTGGGTCCTCATTTGAACGACCTTGGAAGGATGGAAGACTGAAGTTAACCTTCAGCTGGTGAGGATCGAACGGCTGGCAGTCGGCAGAGTTAGCCTGCAATACTGCACTTTAACCACGGTGTCACCAGAGTTCTTACATCAGATCTATTTGAAACAGCCATCTGCTCAACCTTTCCGGCTCTGCGAACCGGCATCAGCTGGGGCGGTGGGTAGTAGAGTGGATGATTTCGCTTGCACAAAGACAACGCACTTTGTGCGTTCGCCCAGCGCTTGTACGGCCCGGTTCCCAACAGGCCTCAGCCTTGTAGCAGGCTGCAGCCCTGGGGTTGAGGACTCCTGTCCTAGACAGCATCCCCTCCGGTCATTTCAACATTACATTACATCCGTGTTTCTCAACCTTGGAAGCTTGAAGATGGGTGGACTTCAACTCCCAGAATCCCCCAGCCAGCGCTGCTGGCTGGGGGATTCTGGGAGCTGAAGTCCCCCCATCTTCAAGCTACCAAGGTTGAGAAACACTGCATTACTTCGAGCATTTTCTGGCTATTTTGGATTTTGTAGCTATCACTAAAAAGCTGCAAGGAAAGTACTATGGAGCAGATGGGCCCTGAGAAATGTTAAGAGGTATTTCTTTTTTCCTCTACTCACTAACCTCCTCAAATCCTGACAGCAAATCATAACAATACTTTCATTTTTCAGAAACGTAACCGTATCTTCTATCCAATGGAGACCTGACGAACCATTAAATACCATGGGTAGGTGGATGGATGGATGGATGGATGGATTGAAAATCTAATTTTTTTAGGGCTGTCCACTCAGCTACAAAGGGATGCGGTGGCTCAGTGGCTAAGATGCTAATCGAAAGGTCGGCAGTTCAGTGGTTCGAATCCCTAACGTCACGTAACGGGGTGAGCTCCCGTTCCTTGTCCCAGCTTCTGCCAACCTAGCAGTTTGAAAACACGTAAAAAATGCAAGTAGAAAAACAGGGACCGCCTTTGGCGGGAAGGTAACAGCGTTCCGTGCGCCTTTGGCGTTTAGTCATGCCGGCCACATGACCACGGAGACGTCTTCGGACAGCGCTGGCTCTTCGGCTTTGAAACGGAGGTGAGCACCGTTCCCTAGAGTCGGGAATGATTAACAGATATGTGCGAGGGGAACCTTTACCTTTACCTTTTTACTCATCTACAACTTCGTTTACAAAGTTTGCCAGACTTGATATTCCACAATGTGACCGTCAAAAGTTTCCCCATTTAAAGATTCCGAAACGTGCAGTTTGGCAAGATATTCTCGGAATTCTCTGCTTATTTAAAGCAGGGGTCTCCAACCTTGGCAACTTTAAGCCTGGAGGATTTCAACTCCCAGAATTCCTGGAATTCTCAAATTCCTGGAATTCTGGGAGTTGAAATCCTCCTGGCTTAAAGTCGCCAAGGTTGGAGACCCCTGATTTAAAGTATTCATATCCCACACTGCAACTAGAGGTTGACAAAACAGCTTCCGTCCGAGCCAATAGAAGGAGCACAGCTGGTGCCATTTGATGGCAATGTGAAATAATTAATTTCAGAATCTCTTGTTATTCATCGCTTGGTGCCCCCTTCCTCTTTCCAAGATGAAAGTATCCAGAATGCAAAATTCCTGCTCTAACTGGGAAAGCATTTGTCATCCGTTGTGGTGAAATGGATTCAGAGCGAAAAGGACAAAAAAGAACCATCACCAGAGCCAGCTGGTCAACTCACAGAAAGCATGGTGAGGTGAGCATCAGGGGTGGGATTCAACCGGTTCGGGCAAACTTGTAGTTACGGCCAGTGGCTTGGCCCGCCCCGGCGCCATCCTGTCTTACACAATCGGCGTGTTTTTGATACAGTGCATTTGTGTATAAGGCACACGCTCAAGCGAAGCTATCCCATCCTTTGTTGTAGCTCCGTTACCTGAGCCTGTGTCATCGGCAGGAGAGGACTCCGAGAGTGAAGGAGAGGAGTTGGCAAGGCCTCCTTCTCCAGGACCCTCCTCTCTGGCAATGCCTTCAGTGTCCGCCGAAGGGCAAGAGATAGGGCCGGGGCCAAGCACGTCCACGCAGCCACAGGTGGACAGTGATGAGGGTAATGAGTCTTGGCTGGATCTTCGACAGCGTCGGAGAGATAAGCGCGCGCAACAGAAGAGAAGGCATGCCAGAGATTAGGCTGAGTCACTGGACCACACCCCACAGGGTATAAAAGGGAGCGTGGTGGCCAGTCAAGCCTTGTGACGAACAAAGCTGAAAGCTTCCACGCCATTCTGCATTGCCGGACTTTTGCTACAGACTTTGCTGGATTATATTTGGATTTAAGTTACTCTGTAATTATTGAACATTTTACTTTGATGTACCAGAAGCGGAGTGAAGTTATCTCTTCGTGAGTAATAAACTCTTGGCAGGAAGCCACTAGGTTGCTGCCAAGTTGCGTTATCATAAGGAAAAGGATTTTGTCGGCTGGTTTGGTTTTTAACTCTTGGATGTCTGTTGGTGTGTGTGCGTGTGGGATGGGGACAGAACACCCTATACAATTGCCATGTTGTTGACGCAGCGTGCATGTGCACAAGGTACATGCACGCACATTTTCGATTCTGGGTGAATTGGTTGTTAAATTATGTGATGCCCATCTCTGGTGAGCATATTACTTTTGAATACATGGGTAGTCCTCGACTTACAACAGTTCATTTAGTGACCGTTCAAAGCTACAACGGGCACTGAAAAAAGTGACTTATGACCGTTGTTCACACTTACAACCACTGCAGTATCCCTATGGCCACATGAACAAAATTCAGGACACTT